CCCTAATAAATCCTGGTTCTGGCTAGAGCCGTTGCAGTGTGAATGTGCTTTGGTTTCCTTCACGTCCCCTTCTCAGTTCCCTCCGTGCTTGCTTGCCCTTTCCAAGGGTAGCGCTGCGTTTTGCTGCCCTTGGTCACCTCCTGAGCAGGGAGTTGCCTGGTGTGAGCTGGTCAGCAGCCTGTTGCACGCTGTTCCCTTGTACCCAGCCGGGCACCTGCCAAGGAGGGCTACCCCACCTGAGGTGTGGGGAGCCTGGGGTGGGCAGGTGTCCTGCTGAGGCGTGCAGGTAAGTGCCTTGAGCTGGGAGGCCTAACCTCAGTATTTCTGCTGTCCCAGTTAGGCTCCCATGCCCTGGTGAATGGGATGCTGCATCCAGTCCCCTAAAACAGCGTGGAAGCCACTGCAATGGAAAGCCTGCCTTAGTAGGTTGGTGTTGAAAGACAGTGGACGCACCCAGCCCAGCCCTGTTAGTCAAAAGTCTATGAAAGTGAGCTGCACGCTGTAAAATAACAGAATTGTTTTGAAACTTCTCAGGCTGCTCCCCGCCCACCGCAGCGGGGAGGCTTTTCTGCTTTACTCTTTGGCTTTGTTCATCACAACAGGAACTCTAAAGATGTGCTCAAGTCTTTGCCACAAGTGCTCAAGTCTTTGCCACAAATGCTTGAAACTTGCTCTTGTAACCAAAAATAAAAATACCATCATTCTTATAAGCACTCTAGGAGTTTTAACTTTGAGAAACAAAACTGAATACTGTAAGATTTGCTAAAAAACCTGAGCTGGCCTTGCTTGGCTGTGTATTTCCGGTCTCCTCAAAACGGTTTGGAATCAGCTGTCACCAACTCCTGCACTGGCACATCTGTTACTCCCTGGCAAGAATGGATGTTATGTGGTGTTCATGTCTTTCCTATATGTTCCTAAAATTACGTTTGGCAGCTACTTCTCCCGAGTAAGATTTCCGATACGAATTTTGCCTGATGCAGTCTCATCATCACTCCTGTGCAATTATCTGTGGCACAGATAATAACAGTACTAACTGACATCGACTAAAGTGCTGATTGGATCATAGGTTGGATTAAAACTTGGACAGACCAAGCTTGAAGGTGGTGATCTAGAGAAAGACGGAGGAAGAAATCAAGCACTTCATTTTGGGGACTGGAAGTGCTGAAAGGGGTTGGTGTGCTGAACAAGAAAATCACTGCTGGTTGTTTGATTTTCTGCTGTGTTCAGAGAGGCAAGACGGGTATTGCTGCATCTGACTTCATCATCAAGCGCTCCTCGTAGGTGGAATGCCTGGCAAGGATCCGCATTTCAGGGTGAGAAACTGAACATAAGGCCAGAAGTGGTAGGGCTGCTGACCTGCAGCGGCAGGTATCCTGCTGTGAAGCAAAGATCCAGGGGACCAGTGGGCCGTTTGGGTCCTACTTCTCAGTAGAAATGGGATCCTGGATGTAAAGCAGTTGCCTTGGATTAAATCTAGGAGAGACTGAAGTAGTGCCAATAGAAGGAGGAAAGCACCTTGAAGTTCTCAGCTCCCGCACCCCGCCACATGATCTTTGGTAATTCACATCAGTAAGCTGCCTCAGGGTCAGACTGCCCTGAAGAATCAAACTGTAGTAGTCACCGCATTTTTAGCTGTCAGAAAGAAATACTTTTGTTTTTACTGATCTGAAAAATGATTTATTTTCTTCTTAGACTGGCTACTATTGCTGACAAATTTCTCGTGTGCTGTCTAGAGAAACTGTAATTCTTTGTATGTGATCTTTGCAAAATCCACAGAGAAATCCTTAATTGCCATACAACATAGCTGCCCCTCTATTCAGCAAAGGAAGTGGAATTTGCCATGGTCCATAAGCTGTTGCTGACCACTGTGCAAATTCAGGACACTGACACTGATTCACAAAACCTTCCACAGGAGAGAACCATATTATCTCAGAAACCTCCCTTTCTGCCACAGCAGCTATGATTTCGGGGCTGTCTGTATTTATCTGAACATTGGACAGGATACAGAGCTTTCTCAGCAGTTGGCCATAAACTCTGGAATGTCTTTTTAAAGGTCAGGAAAAGTATTACGGCTAAGTTTTCCTGCCTTTGACCTCTGCACGTTAACTGTGATGTTCTGACATCTACATTCTACATTAAACGTATCTAGTTATGTTTAATGTCATATCTTTGGCACAAAACAATCCCATATAAACCAGCAGCCTCCTTCCACTGTCATCTTTAAATGATCCTGAAAAATTTATGTCTACCAACAAGCTTAGGAAAAATCGTAAAAGAAAGGAAAGGAATCGTTGCTACTGCATACTTGGCAAATATATTGATGAATTTTCTATCCACAGTTGTTTCACAAGGACCAAGTACCTCACATTTTCCCTGTCTATGTTGTTGAGTTGTTTATTCGTAAAGTTGTAACTGATTCTGGGCGGATCCAGAGTCTGCCCTGCCCTGATAAGAGGTGAAATGGTGAAGGGACCAACGGATGAAGAGAGAATCAAGTTTGCTTCCTTTCTAAATGCCAAAGCTTGATCCGTTCATTCCCTCATTTAAAGTACATACAAGGTCAAAGTAAGACTGTGGGATATGTAAAGTAGAGAGTAAAGATGTTAAATCAGTGACAGCAGAAAAATTACTGCTTCCAAGCCTGGTTGTAGAATGCTCTCTAAAGCACCCTCATAAATTGAGTTAATGGAGAGAGAAGATGGAGACTTAAAGAGACTCCTGTGGCTTTGTACTGCAAGCAGATGTCATCTTGCCTCAAGGAGAGCAGTTCAGTGTTCTTGAAAATAAAGAAAAACGTTATGCCAGGTACTGTGCTATATCATTTCCCGCTCAGCCTCCCCTCATGCTGAGCTCTGTTAGGCTGCCCTCAACTTCATGTGCAACATGGATTCCATGTCATATTTTCCTAGAGCGAAACATACCAGTTTGGTGGAGTAGCTTTTCTAGGTGGATAAGCTGATATATTACAAGTCCTGCAGAGATCATTTAACGTGCATACCCTGTTTTTAAAGAAATACTAGGTGAAATCTGTATATTTAACAAAATTTTGTATGTACACTTCTGTGAGCCTCATAAAACAAAATCACGAATGCGGAACTTAATTTACACATTTGTTTATAGGTGGTATGTCTAAAGCACATGGTTTTATTGCCTCAGAACATCAGTAATTTACAAAAAAAGGTGATCAGTTGTTCACAAAGTAGTTCACAAAAAAGCTGCCAAGTAGTGCTGTTCCAGAGCCTGATACCACGATGAGGTAGGTAGCCATGGTGCTGCTGGAAAAAAAGTGTCAGGAAGTGAAAGAGTGATGGGACAGTGAATACACAGCTGGCTTAAAGTGAAGGAAATTGTCTTTCCCTGTTCTGAGGAAAGTAGAAAATACTTTAAGCTCCAAATGGAAAATATAGTGAAAAATAGTACTACTAGGTGGAGACTCAGCGTCTGTAGTTGTAAGCATGGAGCAAGATCAATTGCTGAAACTAAGCAAGAAGATAACCCGGAGCAGCCCAGCACAGAGTTTGAAAAAACATGGTGTTTTACTCCCTGATCATAATGGAATTACATGTGCTCTGTTGTGAGGATGGAATTAGTATTTGGAGCCTTTGTTCTGAAGGAAATGAGGAACGCTCCTTTCATTTTACCTGCTTTTATATACTAATTAAGACTGGAGAGCCTATCAGTTCTTCTTAGACTCCTACAAATAGGGAGTGAGGGACCAACTGTCTACTTCAGCAGTTATTTTTCATGGTCGGGAGTAAAAATGATGTAACAGGTTTCTTTAATACCTTAAAAAGGTTGATACTGTCTGGTTTTTATTGGTGTACAGTCAATCCCTTATCTGGCTGCAATACCACCCAAAAAGCAGCCAAGAAAAATGATGACTTTCTTATTCAGCCACGTAGGTTTTCTTACAGACGAGCTCCCTTACTGATGAAATCCTGCAGAAGCTGGTTGAGATGACATGTTAATGTGCTTTTTAAAATAAAGCTTTCAAGGTGAAAGGTTAATAAACTGCAGTGCAGTCCATGAAGGGAATGACTATTAAATGCAAGCTGCAAAAAATGGCTTCTTATCTTCAAGTCAGATTTCTCTCTTCAGTTCCAGAAAGTTGTTTTTCCATTTTGCAGGCACATGTCCTGTCCAAGCAGGATATCCAAGGCAGATGAGTTTGCTAATAGAAGTGAGAAGTTGATCAGCAATTCTTTGTCTCTCTCTTAGGTTTCACATTT